GCCATCCTCTGTTGCTTTCCCAGGTCATAAGCAGAGAGCTGGATTTGAAAGGGGAACAGCTGGGACACCAAGTGCCCGTCTGGGATGTCAACACTAGCCTGCCTATCATCATGCTTGCCCCAAGTGCCATGTCTTTAAGGTAACATTTTAAAAACCTCTACCTGTTTATCTGATTTCATCCCTTACTAAATATTAAAAGAGAAGTACAAAAACAAGGCTTGTTTGGGACAAACAAAAAGTTTCAATCAAGGTGCATTAAAAAAAAAAAAAAAACAGCGAAGAATAACATTGCAGAAAAGTTCTTCCAAGGGAATGCCATAGTGAGAATGGAACCCAAGAATCCATTCATCCACAAAAGGCAATGAAATTATTCAGTGAAGGTACAGAGTTGTCACTGAGGAGAGCAAAACTTGTACCACAGCATCGTACACTTTACTTAGAACACGCACTCATCCACTAGGGCTCACACACCCCATTTCCACTGCACTACAAAGGTAAGTTTCAGGCTTCTAGAGCTTTCTTTTTATCCATGTCTGTAAATAATCTAGATGGTAAACATACAAGGATATTTTTTAAAGTTCATGGAATAAAATGATGTTTGTTTGGAGGCATTTTTTTTTTGAAATGCATGCAAATGAGAAGTCTTTAAATATTTCATGGGAAATGTGCATTATGGATAAACTGTGTAATTTCCAAAGTTTGTTGCAGCAAAAAGACTTACCTTTAATTCCATTTTCCAAACGTTATTGATGTTCCTTATATGTAGAAGGGATCCTCCCTTGTACTAGAATGTAACAGGAGGCTGTTAATGGAGTGGGGAGTGAGTTTCAATGATTCTTAAAGGATGAGTGTGTTTTAGGTAAGTGAGGAAAAAAGCATAGCCTGATGCAGAAACCCCACAGGAAGCTGTGTATCAAGCATCAGGTAAAGAGTGCCCAAAGCAGATGAACTGTGCTTCATTGCCCATTAACATGTATGAGAGCTGAACGGGATGTGGGACAGATGAAACCAGTCTGCTGTACATACTGGTAAGAACAGGAACTAGAGGGCCCGGCGCGGTGGTGCAGTGGTTAAGGTCCTCGCCTTGCAAGCCCGGGATCCCATATGGGCGCCGGTTCTAATCCCGGCAGCCCCGCTTCCCTTCCAGCTCCCTGCCTGTGGCCCGGGAAAGCAGTCGAGGACGGCCCAAGGCTTTGGGACCCTGCACCCGTGTGGGAGACCCGGAAGAGGCTCCTGGCTTCGGATTGGCATAGCATTGGCCGTTGCGCTCACTTGGGGAGTGAATCATCGGACGGAAGATCTTCCTCTCTGTCTCTCCTCTCTGTATATCCGCCTTTCCAATAAAAAAATAATAAAAATAAATCTTAAAAAAAAAAAAGAATAGGAACTAAGGCAGGGGCAGGCCTGGTGGGGTGATTTGTGGGTTGCTCCGATTAGGCTCACCTCCCACTGGGTCTTCATGAAGGCCGGTTATGTGGTGGGGAGGATTGGGCTTGGCTCCAACACCCATCGGGTTGCATAAAACACAGGGCTGGAGACAGATTTGACCTAGCAATTGCAACTACCAAGGTATTCATAGGTTGATTTGGGTGACAGACTGTGCCAGACCATGTATTGGCAAACATACACAAGAATCAGGTCTGGGATGGCCTCAGATGAGTTTTCTTTGGTGATTCCCTATCAACTGAGCCACTGGACTCAGAACCCCAACCATGGAAAGAATTACAGGTTCCATGGTCTCACCATGGAGTGCATATGTCAGAGGTGGCCCCCATCAGTGGCTCAGACAGAGCAGTGGACAGCATATCCAAATGTACATGGAGGATATGGCAGTACATTGGAACCTCCAGAGAACACCTGGTACCATGGCAGAGAATGGAGGATAGAACAAATTGATCAACTACCCCAGCAAAGCATTGGCATTGAAGATCTGTCAGATGGAGAATCTAAGGTGGACTATAGCAGCCAGTGGATTTGGAAGAGATTTCATCGCGATTGGAGTCGTGGAATCGCCAGCGATTCAGGACTGCTGAACAGTCAAAACATCTTCAGAACTTCATGGCATTGCAAATTTCTGTTCTTCCTATTGTTGATTTTGTAGTGTGGCTTTTCATTTAGCGGGATGTGTAATGGAGACTAGCATGTCCAGATGTGAGGATGCAGATCAGAGATTACTAATTACACTATTTGCTGTATCCTGACAATAGGATGCTGGACTCTCTGCTGTTGTCTGTGCCTGCAATGATGGGCATGTGACTAAAGAATTACACTCTGTAGTAGTGATATAGGGGGATTTGGTGGGGAGAGGGGAACGGGGCTGGGAAATCCCAGGGCCTATGGAACTGTATCATAGAATGATGATGATGATGATTTAAAATGAAGTAAAAAAAAAAAAAAGAAAAATGAAAATAAATATAAAAAAAAAGAGTGCCCAAGGCAGAAGGGCAAGAGGAAAGGATTCACACTGGGTCCAGTAATTTTAATTTACCTGGCTGAATGGTCAAGCCATAGCCTGTGGCAGGACTTTGAAAGGACCAGCACCTTCTGACCCATCCCAATCCATAGCTCTGATTCAGGGGCAAAAACACAGGTGACATACTAAAAGCAGGTCCATCTGCCCTGCTCTTATCTACCCTTTCTCTCATACAGGTGATTGCCAGCAGCGGCACCTGATCCCTCCTAGACACCTTAGTGTCTGCCAGCTATCTGGAAAAAGCAATGCTCAATGACTAGGTCGGTCAGACAGACCTGAATTGCTTTAAGTGTTTCCTTGAACACAGTGCTATGGTCAAAAGGCCAGCTGATCTGAGGGGTATAGAGCAGCCCTGAGAAGTAGGATAAATCTGTACTCAGTAGGAGAAGAAAAGAAATCAGGTGCTGTGAGAAGCTGACCAGAGACAGAGACGGTGAGAATAAGGCACACAGTTTGATCTCCTGTATGTTAGTACCAGTTTCTTGGTAAAAGCATGTGCTCTGCCACTAGAGGTGAAATGACTTGCTTACAGAAAATTTGTGTTTAGTTTGAATAAAGTTTGGTTACTTTTTAAATTTTTAAAATTATTGTTATTTTTTAAAATAATGATTACACAGATGATCAGGATGGGAAGGATCAAGGTTTAGGAAAAAATTGGGTGAACTCATTGCTTTAGGGCTTGGTTTCTCACATACAAACATATATTAAGGTGGGGGGGGATGCTTATTCTGCAGTGCTTAAGGAATGGGGTTTAAATGTCCAAGTTCATTGTTTAAAAGATACTTCATGGTTATTGATAAAGATATTGTTGTGGGGGCAGTCAAACCCACCTGTTTGTTTCAGTTTCTAAGCCAGTCCTATTTTCTTCTTTGCTTTGCCAGGTGCTATGAGGAATGAGGCACCACCTAACCACAATAACCCTGCCCCACAGTATTGTGGTACTACCATGAGAATGCACTGTCAGTGGACTTGGGAAGGAAGACACTGAGTGTGTGGAAGATTGCACCCTCTTCTCCCACTAGTGGCAAGGAGGAGAGGAAAGCATTCCAAGGACACTGAGAGCACTCACTGGAGCAGGGCTGGATGAACACTGCACACCAAGTGCCTGCCAGGAGCTTCCTTCTGTCCAGCTCTCAGCAAGCATGACCTATTTTTAATGCTCACAGAGCACGATGAGAAGGCATTAGACTTCTCATTTTTCAGAAGAATGTCTACGATACAGGGAGCAAAGTCCTCCCTCTCTCCATTGAGGTTCAACAGGGATAGGCTACATGTCCCCATTGTGGAAGGGGTAGTTGATTGACTGACTCCACACACCTGGTGTCACACCAAAGGAAGGTTCTAGATATGACTAAATACCCCTGAGCAGAAGGCAGGGAAATGAGGCAGACATAAAAGCATGTTTACATTTTCTGAACCATAGCTCAAGCCAGGATGACCCAGGGGACCGATTCCCTTCCTGGTATATTTCCGTGCACCGTCATACTTACCCTCCAAGAGGAGTCAAGTGCATGAGGGCAGATGGAACCTGACATTGGTGGTTGTAAAGAGCAGAAGTGTTTATCTGGAGTTGGAGGTCACAGAGAGGGAAACAGGATAGAGGTCAGCCCAGGGCCAACCCCGTCTCTAACAGCTCCTCATCAGAGGTGCTAAACCCCTGTGGCTGCTGGGGCCTCAGAGTCATAAGCTTGAGGCTACTACCTTTGCCCCAACAGTTGCAGACCCTGTGTCAAGATGACACAGTCCACTGCAGAAAACTTTAAATCTCAGTTTTATTCACTTACAAAAGAAACAAAATAACGCCTGTCCTGTGGAGCTGCTGTGTGCACTAAATGAGGTGATGATGTAAAGAAAGGGGTTGTGAGAATTGTAAAGAACCATGCCCTTGCTTGGTTCTAGCCTGATGATTCTTCCAGTGTTGACTGCCCCTTCTTCCATCAGCAGGGGAACTTGTCCACATCTTACCAACCACTGCCCTCAGGACTTTGTCCGAGCCCCATGTTCCCACATGTACTTCTCTGGGTGATACTTTCCCTTTGTTTCAATGTACACCACATACTGAGATTCTAATGTTCTATTTGCAAAACAGCCTCTGTCAAGAATAGTCAAGCTAATGCGACAACAACACAATTCAAAGCAAACACAGTATATCACTCTGGACATTTTATAGCAGAAAAATTCTCCTTTTTTCTTATGTCTATGCACTTGAGGAATGTATATATACATACATATATATGTATATATATATACATATATTTATAAATTATAAATATATAATATACATGTTTATAAATTATATATACATATATGTATCTACATATATAATTTATAAACTTTGCTTTTCCAATTCAAAGATAATAAAATAGAACCTTTATCTTTTACCAAATATTTTTGATATTTTATGAAATAATTTCCCCTCCAGAATAGCAAAACACCTAAACTTAGAACTGTATCAAAATATAAGAAACCTTATTTAAAAAATAATATTATCATTAGGCTTTAGTATATCTTAAAGTCAGAACTTTACCTCTGTTTCAATACTCTTTGGTCTATTAGTCCATTGTCTAGGTCATCAGCTGGATAAAAAGATAGTGTCTGCTCCCCATGGCTGGCTAGACTGGAGGACTGTTCATCTCTGCAACCAAGAAAGAAGAGGTGCGTTGGGGGCCGTTCCACAAGGGCTGTGATCACTGATCTAGCAGCAGCTATGCGAGTAGAGGTCAGCTCACAGGCAACACTACGAGCACTGTCCATACCCACACTCCCGATGAGGTTCTTAATGAACAGACTTCAAAGGCCAGCTCACACACTCGCTCCTGTAAGCTGGGAGCTCAGTGGTGCCAGTTCATCATGCTACTTTCACCTGTCTGGCGTATTTTTAAATGGCATCAAACTCTCCCTGCTTTCCTTTATGAAACCATGGGGATAGCAGAATGTATATTTTTGGGTTAATTTTCTTACTCGGTAAAATAACGCAGCAGGCTCTCTCAGGTCCTCTCTCTCCTTGCTGCCACTTGGGATGGGAGGATGGCATTTTAGATCTTAGGAAATTTCATGCTCTTAGAATTATGCTCCACTAACATCTTCATTTTCAAATGAAGCAACTGAAATCTAGCAGGAAGAACAATTTACTCATGGGCACAGGCGACTTAGCAGCAGTGATAAGGTTGGAACTCAGTTTTTCTAGCATCCAGTCCAGAGATTCTCAACCAGCTTCAAGAAGAGCAACAACCACGAAGCACAGGAGATACCCCCACCTATTGTGTAGTTCTACCATTTGTTTAAGAGGATACCAAATACTCTGTCCAGTTGTGGTCTATAAATCCTTTTTAAGATAACAAACCAGGCAGCATTATCCATGAAGTAGAATTACACTCAAGCTCAAACTCATCTTCTCTATCTGGTCCAGTATGCCAGTCCAGGCTCTTCAGCGTCATTGATTCTGTTCACTTGATTTTGCAATTGAAGCCACAGCTAGAAAAACCAAACAAACCTCCAAGGTAGAGGAATAGTTAATATTGAAACAGGAGGTTGAAATTGAGTGTTTCTTCTTATTCCATCTCCCATCTTTATTAGGCACTTTCTAAAAGGGATTAATTAAATGGCATATGTTCAAACCTTGTTCTCTGATGGTTGATTCTTGAAACTATAACAGTACACTTAGCAATAAGAAAATACCAATGGTTTTCAAAAAGGGCATTGAAAACACACATTATGAAAAGATTACATACGGAATTCAAAACTTGTTTTGCACCAAAATACACTTCAGCTTTTCCACAAGGTTGAACTTTCATACAGCCATTAGGCATTCTCTTCTCAGATGCAATTGTGACTATGTCACAGACAGGAATACAGTCTGCATAGTGGGCAGAGCAAAAAACCCCCATTCATAACCCCTATTCAGCCAAGTCTTGGGCATCATGACTATATGTGCAATCAGCTTTCTTAACCTGGTTAGTAAAGCTTTATAACAAATGCAGAACTCTTTTGATGGAAAGACTTATGTATGACTAACACCAGTGTGAATTACAGGAGTATCAATATTGAAAATCATCAGTGCAAGGCAGCAGTTGAAAGGAGAAGCCCAGACTCCTTGGCAATCCGACCAGTTCATAATGACAGCACCATTGACACTGATCTGCAGTGCAAACAAACTTGCCAACTTCCCCCCAAGTTTTGCCTAAGATAGCATCGAGATTTCAGTAAACTTTAGGAACTTCCCACTCACAATCCTACCTACCAAAAAATACCAAGAAATTACTTTGAGCCTTCTTTGAGGTTCACACCCTCTCTTTTTTGGAAAGGAATAAAAGTTGACAACAGGAGCTTCACCAAAATTCCCACGAGTGTGCTTCCAAAGCGATATTTAGGTAAAATCCTTCAAGTAAATCAGTTGGTAGACTTCCAACCCGGCCGTAACACAAGGCCACCTCTTTCTATGTACAGAATATCCAAAATTCTAAAAGTGAAATTACTTACACAGGTTCTCACTAACACTGTAATGCTTAGCAAAGGGTACAAAATACATCTTATATATGCAATGTGAAAGATTTACTCTAAAAACACAGAATGGATTTTATAAAATATGGCAATATTTTTAAATGAACAATTGATCTGCTGCAAATGTTTAACCTTAAAAACTTAGTAAAACATCTTGCACATGAAAACATCACACTATTATGTAGGAAGACAGAAATTAGCCTAAGTGTGTGACACAGGTCTAGGGAAGGAACATAGCAGTCATGTCTCTTCACTGCGAAGTCCTGCCCTGTCAGTAACTTTCTGGCTGGTCTCAGCCTTCCTCCCAAGGGAGGCACCCTAGGAGATTCCTCTCTGCCCCTGTTAGATGACATTAAGAAATAAACTCTTGGGAAGAATTTCACTTGTTTCACATCCAGAAAACTCTTTGTCTGTAACTGGGGAAAGGAGAAAGGGTGGGGAAAACTGGACTCTGTTCCCCTCTGAAGGCCTGGGCTGAATGCAGACAGGCTCTCAGCTTTCAGCTCTGTTTTTTTGCCCAGACTGGCCTGTCAGTTGTTTGCCCCATTAAGCTTTGTTACCCTGCTTGCCCCAGTCTGCATGGATCTCATAAACAGTTGGAGATACTCGTTTTCATTCTGATCGATGTCCTAGCAAGATGGATTTGAACCTTGCTACCTTGCTTAGCACTGCTCTCCGTCTTACGTCTGAAATTCTTTTCTTACAGTACAAGGATCTCACTTCCAGTCCTCTCCTATAATAAAATCAGTATGTTTGAAATGATCCTGGAACACAGACTTACAAAACCTAATTTTAACTTCATCATCCCTTTATTTCTCGTCATTGCCAGAGTCAATAATAACATTCAGATATGAAACCGACCCCACACCTCAGAGCTTTTATCTTCTACCACAAATTGTTCCACATGATGGTTTGAGATGCTGTCATAGTTTTCATTACTTCAATGATACTCTTTAAAAAGTTAAAAACTCAGTGTGGTATTTAGGAAATCATATCATTTTGAAGACATCAGAAGAATATAAATTACCTATGACGAGGAACCCTAGGAGAGTAAGTATCCAAATAGAACAGTGATTTAGGGGAAAGCAAAGGAGCAGCCCTGGGTACCTGTTCCAAACTGTGACTGTAAAACCTGAGTAGCAGGTGCCCGTTCTGTGTGCTCTGTATACATTTCACCTGTGGCACCCACAACATTTCACGTTAGAATTCTGGTGACAGGAGTTTGCTGGTCACTGGAGTCAGGGCTTGGAAAGTAGTGGATTTAAAAATGAATCTTCAGTCATAATGTTTCTCGAAGAGATTCCTTTGCTCAGATATTAGAAATACTGTACACAATCCAACTGAATATGGTGACAGTTTCCAAACAGCTTTAAGTTCCTAAATCACTTACGCAGTTAGTATCTTTGGGAAAGCATAGAACACACACACACACAAAAAGAAAGAAAAACCCCAGTTATCATACTCACCGTAGGGCCGGTTCAGTGTGTGTGACCATGGCTGTGGCTCTGGGGCTTCCAGGAGTCTGCAGTCCTTGGCCATTCTGCTTGTGTTTTTTAATTAAATCCATCAGAACTGCCTGATGCCCAATTTTCTTTACCAGTTGCTGAATCATCCGATCATTAAGTGCTAGCAGAGCGGCCCCACTGACTTCTTCCTCTGGGAAAACAACAACAATAATTCCACGTACAAAATTATTCTCAACTCATCCTCTGCATGTATAAATAAAATCATCCATACTTTTGACAAAGACTCTGATGCTGCAGGAGTTCCAAGCTGGTATCTGATCCTAAGAAAGTACCAGAATATGGACTTTCAAGAAAAATCTTAATTATGTCCACACTAATGCCCTCCTTCATTCTAATTCTTACAAGCATTGCTTTTACAGGGAAAAGATCTTTTGCTGTGAAATTATCCATAGTAATTCCTAGTCAATACTAGCAAATATTCAATATTTCAAAATCTGACACTGCACAAAACACATACTGCATTTTAAAAAATGACCAACACAGCAGAAAACACAAGCACTAAATAATATTTTTAAAGTATCTTTCAAAACGCTGAGAGTCTCTGAAAACAGAATATTCTGTGTGCATGCTAGGACAAGTAGAATTTCAACAAAGAAAGGAAAAATACTGCATCACAAGTGCTCCACTCCACACTCACGCACACAGACACCGGGCCAGGAAAAGAATTTTCAATAACAGACAACACTCAGAAGTCTGGACTGTTCACATAAAACTTTTTGAAAGTACAAGCAACTCACCTTGAAATCTATGGACTAGCTCTCCTAAGTTTTTCTCCACCAGCCAATTGCAGACCTGTTCAACTGACCACGTTTCCATTGCTGTCTCTTGGAAATCCACCTGTAGAGCAGAAGATTAGAGAAGATTCTCCAGCTTTTCTTTTCCTGATTGTAGCTCTTTAGATTTTATTTTTAAACAATCAGCTCATTGTTCTAGTAGAGGCCGTTGGACTATCAATATTAAGGTTTTAAGATAATTACTATTTTTGCAGTACACATTATGAATACAGTCATAGAGCACAGACTCATTTTAAAAGCAAGGCTGATTTAAACCTATTGCCTTGCCTCTTTTCTCAAATTTCTTCACCTTCTCTTACTTTTTTTTCCACAGGCATCACTGCATCACTCAGCTTTACTAACTGAGAGCCAGAGCATATAATAGTACCCAATCCTGTACCATTAACACCCAGGTTTCTTCACAAAGAAAAGAAAGGTGTGAAATCATCAGGAAGTGGTTGACATTTACAAAAGGGGTGGGCAAGGGAGGAAAGATTGCTAAACGCCTGACAGAGATACTTGGTAAACCAAGACTGGTTAACCCCTTGTTGTTCCCAGCTGAGGAGACAGCTTGTAACTGCCTCTTCTTGCTTTAGTTAGCAAGAGGAAGTAGGAGCCATATTTCTTGGAAAATTGGGAGTGTTTCTCTTTCATATAATACCCTGACTTATTCCATTCAGTTCCTGACCTTTACTGACTCTTATTACAATTGGGAAGATAATTAGGATAAAGTCAAACAGCCATTGAAGATTTTAAAAATTTAGTTGGGAAGGTTGAGAATCAGATGATTATTAAATGTTAACAATTGTCTAAGGGAAACAAGCATGAATAGAGTGTGAAAGACACATTCTCCAGCTATTCTGTTAGTCTCACAGGCCTCTGTTGGACAATCACCTAGAAAACTTAGAGCTGTCAATAGTTTTTCCTACTTCTCTTATGCAGCTTGTTTCTTGTTTACAACTCACTCCAAATGATTAATCAATTTTTAAATTTCAACTTTTAATCAGATTTACTTACCATAAGATACAGCTATTCTATACATAAAGACAACAAAGAACTACTTTCAGAAAGATGATAGTGTAAGGAAACAAATATTTACTAGCTTGTGTACTTAAATTTTATTGCTACAAGCTCGGAAAATAAATACTATTTTTTTTTCATTTTTGTACATTTAAGTAAGTTGCAATTGCCAACAGCTCGGAATGGTGGAAAGGGACATGAAGCTTATGTTTCATACTTAGCAAGCTGAAAAGGTAACAGCCTTCAAAAACCATTTCCAAGAAGACAAGTGCACTTCAAAATAATGAGCCACACACTCATGAGGACTTGCAAGCAACCAAGTGGAAAAGCTGAAAACAAGGGTTAAATACGGAAGAGCCTCTTTCTGGATTACAGCAGTGGATTTAATTTGCTTCCGCAAACAGTAGCCACAGACCTCCCCCGCTAGGCTAAGCAGCAATAGCAGGGTGTGAAAAGTCATTATTTGTGAGACTGCGGTGTAAATTAAAAATCACACCTTTCTGTCACACTTCTAGCTTCCTTGTGAACAGTAGGACATAGAAAAAAATAGAAGAGAAAGAGAAAACATTTTTCTCTACTGCAAGATTAAAAGGCATTCAGGGCGGAGACTGCCTTGCAATGGATAAAAGGAAATTTGAAAATAAAATTAGTTACTTGAAACAGTTCAAGTGTTTTTCAATCTGTAAATTTTTATCCCAATTCTTCTTGGAAAAACAAAGCAATATACCAAATCAACTCATAAAAATATAATGAAATAAAAACAGCATCTTTTTGCTCATTTGATTTTCTCAATACTTTATAAAACAAAATAATATTACTGCATATTGTAATGAGGACTCTCTGGTACATGGAACGTGCACATTGCTTGGTCTGGCCCTGCCACAGCAACCATAGGCAGGATGGGAAATCCAACAAATTTGTGACAGGTTTATTTTTAAGTTGATAATTTTGTGTGGCCCTTAAATAATGTTATAAATATCCCAATGGCCCTTGGCCAAGAAAATATTTTCAACATTTGCTAGGCAATGTAACATCTTGAAGTGGCAGCCTGTAACTCACTCTGTTATAAATAGTGGCTACAATACTGAGGACTTTCACACTAGAAGGGTTAACCAATGTTACCGCAGAAAAAATGATGTATCTAGTGCTTTGGAACTCTCTGAAAAGATTAGAGTCAATGAAATATTGTTCCTCAATACTTCAACAAAATAATTTTAAAACATAGAAAACAGGATCTACAATAACACTGTACGTAAAAGTTTAAGTTCAAGCATTCTCACCCTTTTATTAAGAGAAATTTACATGAAGTGGTAATGAGTCTCCTCTGACTAAATTGTTCTATTTTCTTTAAAAACACTTTGGTAAAATACAGTTTCCCTGAAGTTTTTCCTTTTGTCTTCTTTTGCAGTTTTAACAAGTTAATTAAATAAACTTGTTCATATTTTGGATGTGTTGACCAAAGCCCTATCTTAAGGATGTGCTTCACACAGAAACAGAGAATGATAATTGCAATAATCAAGAAGGCAAAGGTAGAGTAATAAAATTACAAAGGAAATCTAAAGCAAACAATGAGAAAATTTGTGTTAAAAAGATAGGGACAAGTCATAACCTTTCAATAATAATATTAAAGGCAAATGGCATAAACTCTCCAATCATAATACACAGACTGGCTGAAGGGATTATAAGACAAGATCTATCTATTTGCTATCTATAAGAAAAACACATACACACCATCAAAAGTGTAAGAGTGGAAAAAAATATCCCACATCAATGAAAAGGATAAATTAGATTTCATGCATTCTAGTTTCAGACAAAATAGACTTTAACACAAAAACTATTTTGTCATCACATAATGATGAAGAGATCAATGTGACAAGAAGTGACTACAGTTAATGTAAATGCACACACACAACACCAGAGCTCCCAGTTGTTTACAAAAATGCTAATGCATCTAAAAAGACATAGACTCTGGTACAATCATAATGGGGGACTTCAGCAACCAGTTATCATCAATGGACAGAATGAGTAGACAGAAACTCAATAAACAACAAGAGGTAATCTATAACATGGTCCAAATGGACCTCGTTGCTATCTACAGACATTTCATCCCACAGATAGAAAATACACGTTCTTTTCCAGTTCACAGAAACTTCTCTAAGACAAACCATATGACAGGTCATAAAGCAAGCCTCAGGAAATTCAAAACAATTGAAATCAAACCATCTTTTCTGACCACTAAGAAATGAAGCTGGAAACCAACAACTCCAGAACATATGCAAAAAACATATGCTACTGAATGAACAATGGGTTATAGAAGAAAACAAAAGAGAAATTTTAAAAAACCCTGGAAATGAAGATAACAGCACAACACATAAAAAGTTGTAGAAGATAGCAAAAGCAATGCTAACAGGGAACCTCATAGCAATTAGTGGCTATATCAAGAAATTTGAAAGGCATCAAATAAATGATCTATGAATGTAGCTCAAGAACCTAGAAAAACAAAATTAAACCAAACCCTAAATTAGCAGAAAGAAGACATTATGGAAGACATTTTGGAGATTCTTCAGATATCTGAAAATAGATCTACTGTGTTACTCAGTCATTTTACTCCTGGGAATATATCCAAATGAAGTGAAATCTGCAAAGGAGAAAGTAATCTGTACCCACAGTGCAAGTTATAACAGATAAAGTATAGAATCAACCCAAATGCACATCAATGATGACTGGATGAAGAAAATTTGTGCTATCTATACACAATGGAATTCTACTAAACCATAAAAAGAATGGAATCTTGTCTTCTGCAGCAAAATGGATCTAGCTGGAGTCTATTGTGCTTTTAAGATAAGTTAGTCCTCCAAAAGACAAATATTATACGCTCTCTCTGCTCTGACAACAAATACACATAGCACAAAAATGTGTGATATTAACATTTTGTGATTTAATCATTGTTTGTAGCCCATGTCTATACTCTTGAGTAGCAGTAGGTTTCCATTTTTCTTTTCTTTTTTCCCCTCTACTTGTTATGTTAAGCATATTGCAATGTTAAGCTTGTGACTGTGAAGTGAATAAACATGCCATTGTAATAATTTGGGAAAAAAATAAGAGGAGGGGAGAGAAGGACAAAGGGAAAGAAGGAAGGAAGGTCCCCTATAGTTGTAAATCTGTATCATGGAAAATATAAAATCTAGTCATTTTGTACAATAAAGAATCAAAAAACATGAGTTATCCCATGTTTCCAGCAGCTCAGTTCATGATAGCTAAGATATGTAATCAACCTCAATTTAAATCAACTGAATAAATAAAATGTGGAAATATACATAATAGAATTCTACTTAGTCACAAAAAAGAATGAAATCCTCTATCATGCAACCAAATGAATGTTCCTGAAAACATTATGCTTAGTGAAATTAGTAACTCCCAAAAAAACAAATGTCATGTTTTCTCTGAGATGTGGTATTCATACAAAACACACACACACTGTGTAAGAATGAAACTGACATCTCATGATTCAGTTATTTTTATAACCTTTATATTCCTATCAGTCATCTTCCTACTTCTCATGTATAGATTATTGTGGCTAATGGCACACTAAGACTAATTAAAATTGAAAGCACATTATGATAAAAATTAAAGGAAATGAAGACGAAAGAAAGAGGTGTGAATGGAAGGAGGGAGGCAGGAAAATATGGCTATCTTTTTGAAACTGTATCTATTAAATATATGAAATCTGGTCCCGGAGCGATGACACAATGGTTAAGATCCTCGCCTTGCATGCCCGGGATCCCATATGGGCGCCGGTTCTAATCCCAGCAGCCCCGCTTTCCTTCCAGCTCCCTGCCTGTGGCCCGGGAAAGCAGTCGAGGACAGCCCAAAGCTTTGGGACCCTGCACCCACGTGGGAGACCCGGAAGAGGCTCCTGGATTTGGATCGGCATAGCATCGGCCGTTGTGCTCACTTGGGGAGTGAATCATTGGATAGAAGATCTTCCTCTCTGTCTCTCCTCTCTGTATATCTGCCTTTCCAATAAAAATAAAATAAATCTTAAAAAAAATAAATATATGAAATCTGTTCTCTTTATATCACTAAGAAAGACATGCATAAAGTCTCCCAAACTGTGGCAAAAATGTTATGGAAAGGATATGTATAGACTTCAGAACTTCTTTGTGCCAAAATAGGCTAATCTTTTAACTCATTTTTTTCATGTAGTTTTAGTGAACCCATGTATTTTAAAGATGTTAATTATTATTTTAGAATTAATAGATCCAATAATACTCATTTATGGCCATTTGATTTGCCCACTATGCTGGTCGTATTCAT